CACACACACACACACTCACTCTCGCGGCGCTGTGCGGCTGTGGTTCGGTCGGGTTTCCCGGTACCGATGGTGTTTGCGGCGGGATGTGAGCTCGGCTTCGGTTCCGTCATGTTTGATGCCAGTGTTTGGCGGATCCGGAGCATCCGGGACTCTGTGAGACTCGAGATCAGCGACGAACCGAGTCCTGCGGTGCTGAACCGATTCACTCATCTGGATCCGGACACTCCTCACCTGGAGGTAGAAGAATAGAGTTATTAATCCTCTCTTATATAGAGACACTAGAAACATCATCAGTGACAATAATAATAGAGTGTATTATAGAAAAATTATTTACAATTGTACTATTCTGCATAAATAGTAAATAAAAACATGAATTTTGCCATGTAATACACACTTTGCTGTTAAAAGTCGTTGCAATCATATTATAACTCCTCTTTATTGTATTAATTACATTTCATGATCAACAACAAATGCCATGTGTATGTCATGGTACAGTAGAGATATTTGAAATACATCATGACTTTTAAAGGTGTAACCATGATTATGTAAGTATAAGAGTGGTTACGATTATTTATAAACAAATAATGCATTGCACATGTATTTAAATGTGTGTTATTCAGCATTATTAAGAGCTTCGCAGTGATTATATACACAGGCATAGGGTGTTACTGTAATAAATATAATGAAGAGTTGAGTTGATATTGATATGATTTGATCTGATTTTACAGGAGAAGACATACTTTCTTAACGTTCTTCACGTTTAGCCTGGTTTCTGATGTCTGTATGTCAGTATTTCCCTGCATGCATTGCAGTGGAGTCATGTGCTGCTCTCTGGGTTTGTGTGTGATGATAACATGATTATGATGCTCAGAGTCTCTCTCTCTGTTGGCTTCGTGTGGATCGATACGAAACGTCTGAAATCCATCTCAAACCATCAAAACAGTGACGCTGCAGATGCATTACTCTGTGCAAAGCACTCTGGGTAAGGTTTGAGTTTTATTTGTCTTGTCGCAGCGTTGTGAAGAAACCCGAATCCAGTTTGTTCCCTGAAGAAGTGATCAGATTTAAAGAGGTCAGAGGTCCTGAGACGGATCACTTGACTAGTTGTGCTGTTAACTGGTTAGTGTGCAGTGCTGCTGTGGTTTGCAGAGATGAACACACACAGAGAGAGACAGTGTTTTCTGTGAGTCTTTGTGTTTCAGTTATTGATCTGTGAATCACAGAAGCTTCCTGAAACACGACTCTCTCTCTCTCTCGCTCTCGCTCTCAAATTCAATTCAAAAATTGCTTTATTGGCATGACTGTAAATGATACAATATTGCCAAAGCTTAGTATACATGTACAAAAAGATACAAAATAATAATATAATAACAATAATAAGTAAATGAACATCACACTAATATAATGGAATAATATAACATCTTAGAAGTATTAAACTGTAACAAATTATAACTTGTGTGAACATTTGATACCACAGTCTTTAACATAGAAACACACATACATGCTTCGGATCACTGTGATGGACAGTAGGGTAACACACTGAGGTCAGACAACACACACATTCACCTGCTCTCTCACACACACACACACACTCACTCACACACACACACACACTGAGGTCAGACACACACACATTCACCTGCTCTCTCACACACACACACACACTCACTCACACACACACACACACTGAGGTCAGACACACACACATTCACCTGCTCTCTCACACACACACTCTCTCACTCACACACACACACACTCACTCGTAAGGAAAGAGGCTGCATCTGTATCTTTGTGATTAGTATCTGTAATCTTACTGGCATCACATGCCATATTGCCATCTGCAGATGGGATGTTTTCTCTCACAGGTGAGATTATTTCACCATGTGATGAATACTTGATGACCATGAAAATAATTTATTTTGGTTCATTTTATTTGTTTAAAAAAATCTTTTTAAGCAATAGTTCTCATCTTTTAATATATAACAACAAAAGTGGTCATCAGCCTTTTTGACTCTTGAGGGAAGGGCTGGGCGATATGTTTTATTCTGATTTGCAATATCAATTCAATTCAAAATTGCTTTATTGGCATGACTGTAAATGATACAATATTGCCAAAGCTTAGTATACATGTACAAAAAGATAAAAATAATAAGATAATAACAATATTAATAACTAAATGAACATCACAGTAATATAATGGAATATTATAACATCTTAGAAGTATTAAACTGTAACAAATTATAACATGTGAACATTTGATACCACAGTCTTTAACTTACATAGAAACACACATACATACTTCGGATCACTGTGGTGGACAGTAGGGTAACACACTTGAGGTCAGACACACACACATTCACCTGCTGTCTCTCAGGCTGTGGCACATCCACACGTATCTCGCAGCAAGTGCTGCTGTCTGTCCCTCTCCTAATACTATCTTTATTTGTTCTGTTTCACTAATGGCTGTAAAGTTCTTTATTAAGTTGGTGAATTTGTTGAAGTAGAGGTTTCTTATGGATCTGTATTTATGACAGTGAAGGAGGAAGTGCGTCTCTGTCTCGATCTCTCCTGTCTCACAGTGAGCACACACTCTCTGCTCTCTGGGTAACCAGCTCTTTCTGTGTCTGCCGGTCTCGATGGCTAGACTGTGCTCACTGAGCCTGCACTTGCTCAGGATCCGTCTCTGACACTCTGGAGATAATCTTCCAATTCATAATTTGATTTTAGAGTTCGATAGAATTGTAATTTACTTTGTGTTTTAGTTTCTTGATCCCAATGTTCCAGATATGTATTTTTAGATTGTTTGATAATTTGATTTATTTTGATGTTTGGATGAGAAGCAGTGCTGGTTTGAGACTGGATAGTGTTAGTAGAGTTAGTCAGGTTAGTAAGTCTCAGAACTAGCTGACTGAGTGGACTCTTTTCGGGGTTCAGTTCTTGGGTTTGTAGCGCTTTAAAATGTAGCGATTCTGTGGGACTTGATTTAAGATGCATCCAGAATTTGAGAGATCTTTTATGCATATTAATAATCAATGGGAATCGGCCTAATTCTGCCCTACATGCGTTATTGGGTGTTTTTCTTTGTAGTTTTAGAATCATTTTGCAGAATTCTGTGTGTAGGGCTTCTGTTGGATGTCTGTCCCATCTAGTGTAGCTCTGATCACTGAGTGGACCCCAAACCTCACTTCCAGACAGCGCTATGGGCTGAATCACACTAGCAAAGATTTGACACCAAATTGGAAGCGGTATTTCAATATTTTGGAATCTTTTCTTGATTGCGTATAGAGCTCTTCGAGCTTTATCTTTGAGAGCATTCAGTGCCAAACTGAAACTCCCCGATGCAGTGATGCTCTATTTCTTGTAAACGTTTGGTCAGATGGTGCTTGTTTTTTGCTCTAATTGTGTCTTTGTATTGTTTTAGTTTTGAACAGTATTCAGTTCTTTATGTTTCAGATTTGATGATTTTCTAAGTTGTTTTCTTAATGTTTTGCAGTCTGAGTCAAACCATTTTTCATCTTTTGGTGTTTTTTTTGTGAATTTTTTGCCTTTTTCAATTCACTTATATATGCTGCTTTTTGAAATATGTAACTGATTTCATTTGTAGCCAAATTAACGCTCTCTCTCTGTGTCTCTCTCTCTCTCACGATTCATATATAGCTTTATTGGCATGACATACTTGGGTACATATTGCTTAAGTATTGTACATTTCAAAATGAAAACAAGCAAAACAAAAATACATATAATATACATCCATATATATATTTATATAAACATTGATGGTTCTACTTGTGTTTTTAGTGCTTTAAAATGAAGAGGTTCTTCAGAACGAGAGTTTGAGTGAATCCCGGGCTTTAAAACTCTTTTTGAATCATTAGATTTGGGGGAAGACCACATGTATTATCAGGTGTTTCTGTGCTTCTAAAGGCTGTTACTCGCTGGGCCCCAGATCTCACTCCATACAGGGCTATAGTATGACACGGTTTATTTGGAATAATTTTGATCGGATAGCGTGCAGTGCCCTGCTGGTGGTGTTTACAGTCAATATATGTTTTTTTCCCTGAAATCTCATGATCTTAGTTTTGTTTGCATAATCGCTGTTCTCTCGGTATCCAGGATTTTTAATCTTTCTTTCTCAATTTCTAAGTCGTGGTCACTGAGTCGATATTTTGAAAGAATTTGTCTTTCTTTTAATTGTTTAATTGATACGTAATTTGCCAATTTCTTGATTCTATTTAGGGCCGAATAACAATGAAGTTTGGTTTGGAGGTCAAATTAGTTTTTCTCTCTCAATTAAATTAAATTCATTTCAATTCAGACAGCTTTATTGGCATGACAAAAACACATTTTGCATTGCCACAGGCTAGGGCTGGACAATAATTCAATATCAATATGTATCGCGATATAATTTTTTTCAATAACGGTGATATGATTTCGTGTGATACGAGCCCTGAACTGGTTTAAATTTGTGTTTACACCCCTGTTATTTTACTACAACTGAAATACTGTTATAGGTTTTGTTAATATTTTGAGTTAGAATTTATTTTCTGGTCTTTTTCTGGCTTTCATGAACATTTTAGTAATTCTGTTGTGTGTTTTTGTCATTTTTATAATTTTTATTTTTGTTTTTTAGTACAAGATAATTCATCAACCTGTCTGTCTATTATAGTGCTAAAACACACTAACGTTGGTTGATGTGTGTATGTGTGTGTGTGTGTTTGTCTCTCTCTCTGTGTGTGTGTCTCTGTGTGTGCATGTCTCTGTCTGTGTGTCTCTCTCTGTGTGTGTGTGTGTGTCTCTTGTGACTACACAGAGCCTTGGTTCACTGACAAGCTAGGGTTATTTCTGCGAGGTGTATTTGGAGTTTCTCTGGCCTTCAGATGAAGATTTACTGCTGATCACAGAACCCTGCTTCACTGACGAGATGCGCATGACAATCACAGCTTTTGCCTAATCACGATTCCGATTTCATTGCGATTTATCGTGCAGCCCTACACACAAGCATGCTTGAGCTTCACGTAGCTGATCCTCAGGTCTGTTGTGATGTAGAGAGAACTAGAGAAGCTGAGTGCTTCTCATTCTCTCACCGGACGCTGAAGGACTGTGTCGTGTGCTGTGTTTGTGTCGTGCAGGAGCTGTTCAAGCGGGTGGTGCCGTATCACTGTCTGGGAAGCATCTGGTCTCAGAGAGATAAGAAAGGGAAGGAACATCTGGCGCCGACCATCAGAGCCACGGTCAGCCAGTTCAACCGCGTCACCAACTGCGTCATTTCCACCTGCCTCAGCGACCGGACGCACAAGCCCAGCCAGAGAGCCCGGATCCTGGAGCACTGGATCCAAGTAGCCAGAGTCAGTCTGATCTCACACACACACACACACACACACACGTCTGATCGCTGGTTTACTGTTGATTTTAAGACCAGTTTCTTTTCTCAGGAGTGTCGGATCTTGAAGAACTTCTCGTCTCTGCGTGCGATTCTGTCGGCGCTGCAGTGTAACCCGGTTCACCGGCTCAAGAAAACATGGGACGAAGTGTCACGAGAAAACTTTCGCATCTTCCAGGAGCTGTCAGAGATATTCTCTGATGAGAACAACCACTCGCTGAGCCGAGAACTGCTGATAAAGGTACGACACGTGTGAGTGAGTGTGTGAGAGTGAGTGTGTGTGTGTGAGTGTGCGTGTGTGCATGTGTGAGTATGTGTGTTTGCATGTGTGTGTGTGTGTGTGTATGATATTTACTGCTTGTGTCTCTTTGGCAGGAGGGAACGTCCAAATTTGCCACTTTGGAGATCAACCCTAAGCGAGCGCAGAAACGACAGCAGCCGCAGAGAGATCTGGTGAGACATTCAGACGCAGACTGCAGCTGAACGCTCTGATGGACGATGATCCACACCGGCAGCTGCTCTCAGATCATGTAGTACAAACTCATTGAGCTGATTCTGCATCATTACTTGATGAACTCCAGCAGGAGACTCATATCTATCTATCTGTGTGTGTGTGTGTGTGTGTATATAAGCTGCTCCCCGTCTGTCGTCTGTGGTGTTTCATACTGCTGAACTCTCAGAACGATGGTTTTTGTTTCAGACTGTGATGCAGGGGACGATTCCTTACCTGGGAACTTTCCTGACGGATCTGGTCATGATGGACACGGCCATGAAAGACTATCTGGACGTGAGTCTCTCTTAACAGACACGCTCATCACATCAAGCACATGGGACACTTTCCTCCTTTCTATCCACTGTGTTTATAAAACAAATTTTTCTTCCCGCTGTACTGAAATCATGCTGAACTGTTGACCTTAAAGGAGTCATGACATGGATTTTTTTATTATTTTAATATGTTCCTTGAAGTTTACTTATAATGTTAAAGGGGTCTTTGGATGCAAATTTCACTTTTACATGTTGTAAACCACTATATAATGATAAAAATCCACCCAGTGTTTTTTTTAAATCCCCATAAATCATAAGCAGTGTCTCAGATCAAGCTGTTCTGACATTCTTGGCGTAGGTTTGCACAGGCCCCTCCCACGACTACTGTTTCGACGCCGCAGCAGGTATAGATGTAATAATGTTGTTGGATGTAATAATGAACATAGCAGTCGTCATTTACTCCCGACATCTGAGCCGCTGAAGACACAGTGGCTTAATTTGGTTTTTAAAGGGAATGTGCTCCCCAATCTACCTAAATGCGCTTATGTTCACGCAAATCATTCGTGATCCAGCTTCACCTACAGAAGAAGTGAGTACTGGTGAGACATTCAGACGCAGACTGCAGCTGAACGCTCTGATGGACGATGATCCACACCGGCAGCTGCTCTCAGATCATGTAGTACAAACTCATTGAGCTGATTCTGCATCATTACTTGATGAACTCCAGCAGGAGACTCATATCTATCTATCTGTGTGTGTGTGTGTGTGTGTATATAAGCTGCTCCCCGTCTGTCGTCTGTAGTGAATCATACTGCTGAACTGACAGAACGATGGTTTTTGTTTCAGACTGTGATGCAGGGGACGATTCCTTACCTGGGAACTTTCCTGACGGATCTGGTCATGATGGACACGGCCATGAAAGACTATCTGGACGTGAGTGTAACAGACACACTCATGACATCAACCATGTGGGAGGCTTTCCTCCTTTCTTTCCACTGTGTTTATAAAATAAATGATTTTAAGACCAATTTTTTTCTTCCCGCTGTATTGAAATTATACTACCCCCAACTGCTCCCGCAGCAAAAATGCCCACTACTGTGTGTGTGTGTGTGTGTTCCCTGCTGTGTGTGTGTGTGTGTGTGTTCACTGCTGTGTGTGTGTGTGTGTTCACTGCTGTGTGTGTGTGTGTTCACTGC